TATTGCACAATTAATCATTCATTTTTGCTAAAAATTTTAAAATTGTTAAAAGGAAATAATGGGTTAGAAAATAAAAAATTAAAAGAAAAACATTTTAATGGCTTTTCAAATGCAAATGTGGGTGGCCTCCAGGTAGAGCAGCTACCAAGGTGAAAGGTCACTTCCCCACATATTTTAAAAGACTACTTAAAATTCTATTAATTGCTAATAAGTTTGATTGCTTGTTTTACTGTCCTAAATTAAACATAGCATTAAAATAGGGCTTTGATATTTTACAAACAAATATAAAGGCTTAAAGTAATGTGTAAAAAAGACATGAGGCTTAAACAGTCACTTGATTTGACATTCATTTAAATAATAAAAGGCCTAATCTTGGCCTACAAAGGCCACTGTAGGATCAAAATTCTGTTAAAACAAAAGAGTCAATCCTGACATCTTCACTTGTCAATATATACTATTAAATTTTTATACTTTTACAGCAACAGAAAGGCAAACAAGGTAAAAGAAAAAAGGCTAAAAAAAAGTCCTTTGGAGAGCTCTTCATACTGGACAATAAAAAGGGACTCAGTCCACAACTAACCTGGGGCAAAGGGTATGCTTGTGTTTTTCCAGAGAATGCTAACTGACCTATTTGGGTACCAGAGTGTACTGTCAGGCTGTACCATGGAGCCAGATCTAAAGAAGAAGTTAACAGTGACCAGGCTGCTGTTGTAACCTACTTGACCAAACTGAAGCCATTTTGTCTGTAAACAGATGTTATGCCTTCAGTTGCACCTTCTGTGCATAGTTGATTTATGGCCTTGTTTTTCCAGCTTCACCCATTTGTACGACCTTGATTCTCACTACCCAATCCCTGTTTTGTACTCTGTGCACATTGAACCAGGAAGATAACTGACCACAGAAAGACTCCAGATGTACTCCAGCCCCAGATGTTCCCTAGCAGATAAGCCTAAAATAACCGTAAAGGTCACCTCCCGCTAACCAATGCCGTTTGCTTCTGTACCTAGCTTGCTATCTTGATCCCACCACTTACTTGCGGTTTTGTAGCTTAAAAGTAGATCTTAGATTGTACTCTGCGTACCTCTTTGCTCTCTTGCATAGAGACCGCTGCAGGGTACCTGCTAAAATAAGGCGCTTCTTTAACTTTTGGATTTGCCTCCTTGTCATTTGATTTTTGAGTTACAAGAGCTACATCCACCCTGGGGCTTATTCAAGGAATTGACTAAGTGGAAATCTAAGGTCTAAAT